TTATAGCAATCATAAACGTTTCTAATAAGTATTAGAGAGGTTTAAATATACGTCGTTATACAGACATCATGGTAAATTCAAAACATTTACTTGGTAGCCATGAAAGGTTATCGAATATCAGGTATTTTGGAGATATCTAGGAACATTAAATAATGTTAATTTAGAGCTATGGTTTGTCTTTCATATGAAGATTACAATCGGAATCGATAGACATACATTTTGAACTTGTATGGAAGTTCACCAATAACGTTATTATGACTTATGTTGGGACTAAAATAACTTTGTGGTCATGTCCTGGAACATAATTTTGTTAGCTGGGACCCTAGCTTTCATTGATTTCAAAGGAAGCATTCCCTCAATGGTTGATGTCAATGCTGGACGCCCGACGTCTGTAGTGTCACAGTGTAGCAGGGCAGCAACACTCTTCATCAGTTTGACGTGATTGTTGAAGCTGCGACTGCCCTGTTTCCTCCTACTGTGACCACTAGCCGAGCCGACATCAGTCTATGGAGTAGGCTACCATGATAGACTGATGAGATTCCTCCATAATCTATGGTAGGCTGGCTATACCACTACCATGGTGAGTGTCGAGTCCGCAGGCCTATTCAGTAAATAAGTGTGTGTGAGGTTGCGTCAGCTCAAATGTAGCTAGTCTGTGAACACTGGTTTAGTGGAAATACATCAAAGCTGATTAACTGCGCGACTTCTAAGATCATCCACTGGAGTGCGACAACAATATGAATTAGAATTTAGAAGTGGAGAAAATAAAGTCCGCTGGTTGGGTGGCTAGCGACACCTATTGGAGTTGAAATGGCATTCTACTGCATGAAATATCACATCAATTCTATGTGGTCCAACCTAAACAATTGTCCCTCCCTGGCTATCCAAGGGTAGGTTAGCATTATATCCTGTCCATTAATACGATTTGATCAATCGATATCTGATCGATATCCATAGTGAACATGCATTGGTTGTAGGCCTAATCAGATCTGAATAGAATGGTTCATTCACGGCAGTGACAGGAGTCACAGGACACACAGATCGATAAACTATTATGACAAGTGCAGAATGGTTTTAAGCATGAAGGACAGCAGACAGATCGATTTGAATGTTACACAGAACCTTGAAGCTCTCTGTATAGTTAGTATACCTCACTCTTTTCCCGAATGGGTAAATATAAGCCAATCAACTCAGAAATCGAGACTGTGAACTACAGAAAATGCGTTTTTTATTGCAGGAGTTTACACCGATTTATTTAGTTCTAGCAGGGCCTATATATTTTTTTTCATCATGCAGTAGGCCTAATAGTTATAGATCTCCAGGCTATTATATTGCATACACAATGTCCCTTCTATATGAGAAGAATATTACACTCATGGCAGTAGCTATTGAGGGTGGTATAAAAGTTTTCAACAGAAATATATTACTTCGGCCTCCCGAGTGGCGCAGTGGTCGAACATGCTGACCACACCGCTCGGGTCGCGTGTACACATTCATGTTATTCAATCATTGCACCCATACTGCTCGCGCGCGTCAACCAGCGTCTGCGAGGGCAGACGCTAAAATAGAACTTGGTTCTATTTGTAACGCTCAACGCGCTGCAAGTCCTGCCTCTCCCATCTCCTCATTGGTTTTTAGGAGCATCTAAAGATGACTGAAATATGAACTGAGGTCTATGCTCCAGTCCAGTTGGTCGTGGTAATGCACCATAAAGTTGGTTGCCAACCGCCATATAAAGTCCAAAGAAGAAGAAGCAGAGATTACCAGAAAAAAAAAACTTTTACCGTTTTATCTGTGGATTAATTGTTGGAGTAGAGGACCTTGTGCATTTCAAGTAAAATAATAACCCAATGTTCATATCCCAGGACAAATTAGCTAGTAACAGCAAGCTAGCTAACTAAATTGCCATAAATATTTAATGCTTTTCAACCTGTCCCCAAATTAATATAATTGGTTCAGAGTTTATTTGGATATTTCAACCTGCATGACCTGATCGCGTCTGGTGTTGGGGGACTAAATCAACTTGTGGACACACGCGTGCGTGCGGTCTGGGTAGTATGTTAGGCACTGCATCGCAGTGCTAGAGGCGTCACTACAGACCTGGGTTCGATTCCCAGGCTGTGTTGCAGCCGTCCGCGACCAGGAGACCCATGAGTGGGCGCACAATCGTCCGGGTTAGGGGAGAGTTTGGCCGGACGACCGGGATGTACTTGTCCCATCGCGCTCTAGTGACTCTTTGTGGCGGGCTGGGCACATGCACGCTGACTTTGGTCGCCAGTTGTACGGCGTTTCCTCCGACACGTTGGTGCGGCTGGCTTTCAGGTTAAGCGAGCAAGAAGCAGTACGGGGTCGTGTTTCGGAGGACGCATGGCTTTCAACCTTCGCCTCTCCCACGTCCGTACGGGAGTTGCAGCGATGGGACAAGATTGTAAGGGGTAATAAAAACAAATTAAGAAATGTATTACTTCACTGGCTGCCTGTGGGGTTGACTAGTTGTATGGAGGAAAAACTATGGGGCGGTGAAATCGACTGTTCTGAGGTTTATTTGTGTGAGTGTGTGCCCCAGGCCATGTTACTGGGCCCAGTAGAGAGAGGTGTTGGAAAGTGACTATCAGTGCACACACCACTGGCCTCTGTCACACTCAACACACACACCCTGGTACAGGGTAGTCCACACACACAGGAAGGAGATCCTACAGCTATCTGGCCCTGGCACAGCACAGTTGGAAGCAGCGGAGCCCAGAGTGACATTACTGCAATCTTCTGCTCAGCTCAACTCCAACCCTCTGCTCAGGTAAGACATTCCGATTCCTACTGTTAATGCATGCTCTATTGGGAATGGTGTTCAAAACATGTTTGCGTGGTTGGTTTTTTTTCTCCTTTTCTGATTTGATGAGAATGAGTTTTCTTTGCAAACTGGTTTGCCTGTTCTGACATCACTGAATGCACCCACTTTTAGGGTTTAAGAGAGATGGTCAACTTCTTTGTTTAAGAAGTTTGGCCGCATTCTACTGTGTTTGCCCATGAGCGTGTTCTGTTGTTGGAGTTACATTGAAAGATTAATGGGTTTAATGAAACATTAGCATCGTTATGAGAGGTTGGAGTCATTTTTTAATCCTAATCAATAGATCTAATCGATCAGTGATGGTTTGGAAAGCTGGCCCAGCCATTACTTGTATTTATTGCATTATTTAAAGCCTTTGGGGAGCATATTGAAAAGACATGAGACTATTTGATAGAGTACATGCATATCATCTCATATTACATATGAGATGAGTACTGATATAACCTATCATGGCCAGATGAGCTACGGTACAGTGGCTTGCGAAAGTATTCACCCCCCTTGGCATTTTTCCTATTTTGTTGCCTTAGAACCTAGAATTAAAATGGATTTTGGGGGGGTTGTATCATTGGATTTACACAACATGTCTACCATTTTGAAGATGCTAAATATTTTTGGGGGTGAAACAAACAAGAAATAAGACAAAAAAAACAGAACTTGAGCGTGCATAACTATTCAACCCCCCCCCAGACAGATACTCCAATCTCTGCTGTGGAGCTTTGCAGCTCCTTCAGGGTTATCTTTGGTCTCTTTGTTGCCTCTCTGATTAATGCCCTCCTTACCTGGTCCATGAGTTTTGGTGGGCGGCCCCCTCTTGGCAGGTTTGTTGTGGTGCCATATTCATTCCATTTATTAATAATGGATTGAATGGTGCTCCGTGGGATGTTCAAAGTTTCAGATATTTTTTTATAACCCAACCCTGATCTGTATTTCTCCACAAATTTGTCCCTGACCTGTTTGGAGAGCTCCTTAGTCTTCATGGTGCCGCTTGCTTGGTGGTGCCCCTTGCTTAGTGGTGTTGCAGACTCTGTGGCCTTTCAGAACAGGTGTATATAAACTGAGATCATGTGACAGATCATGTGACACTTAGATTGCACACATGTGGACTTTATTTAACTAATTATGTGACTTCTGAAGGTAATTGGTTGCACCATATCTTATTTAGGGGCTTCATAGCAAAGGGGGTGAATACATACGCACGCACAACTTTTCCGGTATTTATTTTTTAGAATGTTTTGAAACAAGTTATTTTTTTCATTTCACTTCACCAATTTGGACTATTTTATGTATGTCCATTATATGAAATCCAAATAAAAATCCATTTAAATTACAGGTTGTAATGCAACAAAATAAGAAAAACGCCAAGGGGGATAAATAATTTTGCAAGGCACTGTATGTATTGTGAACATGAGCTGTTTCTCTGCTAGTTGTGTTGCTTTGTTAGTTCACTGTGAAATAAGTTATCATGGTTTAGTACACATTTGTTCTGTCCACACACCAGCACACCTGACAAAATCAAGGGCTTGATAATTACCATATAAGTTGAATCAGGTGTGCTGTTGTGGATAGAGTATAATATGTGCAACAGCTGGAGGTCTGAGAATAGTTCAGAGAGATTTTAGAATCCTTTTATCTCAGTTTTATCTCAATGCTTGTTAGTTGTGATAATGTCAGTGACTCTGAACTATTGACATGGGTTGACTGTGCAATCTGCTCTACCTCATTACCAGGGTAAGGGTTTGGGTCAATTCCATTTAAATTCAGTCGATTCAGGAAGTAAACTGAATGGAATTGACCCTAATCCGACTCATTACCAATATGAGAATTGTGATGCAGTGAAGAATGTAGACTAGGGGTGCGAATCTCAGGCCCTCCAGCACCATAGTCCTGCTGGTTTTCATTTCTCCCTGCTACTTAATTAATCAGTAGATGTTATTGAATGAAAGTGCATACACCTGGTTGCCAGGTAGAAAATAATTCAAAATGAAATGAATCAAACTCCAAATAAGCAGGACTGTGGCCCTCAAGGACCAGAGCTGGGCACCCCAGCTGTAAGCCTACCACTGGGATTGTTAGTAGCCCTAATCAGTCAAAGTATTCCATGTTCAGAGTTGTCCTTCCAATGAACAGCAACCAGGGTGTATGTGGGGTGTGAAACATGTCCTTCACACCCAGTGATCAGGAGCTCAGGGCCCAGCTGGTGATCAGGACTGACAGAGGTATTGATCAGCCTAGAAAAACCCTGTGTGAGTGTGACACATGGGCACAGATGTAAAATCATTACATATCTGTTGCGTATGTTGGTGTATGTTGAAGTCTCACTGCATACACTATTGCCCAGTCAGAAATGAACCCCTACCCCCCCCTGGACAATTTTCATAGATCTGAAAGAATCGGATTGGGTTTAAGCCTGAAAGTATAGGTCCACCAAGCCCAGATGGAGTTTCCGCCATATTGCTTGCACCAATCAAACCCTTTTAGATCTGTAAGAAGTGTCTATGGGAAAGGAGTTAGGGGTTGATTATTAACTGTGCATCATGTTACAGACTTGATCTTTTGAGGGAAATTCCTTGAGCATGTCCCCATACACTGCTCTCCCTCTTCATCTCTCTCTCTTGTGTGGTCATCCTCAGGGCAGCTGTGGTTTTCCATTGCGTTTTCTTCTCAATCAGTCAGTCACCAATCGATCTCCAGGATTACCAAATTCACGTGTGGTGCTGTGTGGTTTGACCGGGAAGTCACATGGCCAGCAGGGTTATTCCTTTAACTATAATTTAAACCAGGAAATCCCATTGAGATAAATAATATTTTTAGAGGGAGACCTGGCTTAACTTCTTTAGCCTATTCTACTTTAGTGTTTGAAGATCTTGGAGGCTAGGTGGAGTCATCACCATTTTGCTTACACCTACACCCAACTCCAAAAGTTATTGGCTTGAATGTCAGTGACTACAACACTGCCGGATGGTGATACTGTGATACTCCTCACCAGGAGAGGGCGTGATCATTTACATTTTTGTCATTTAGCAGACGCTCTTATCCAGAGCGACTTACAGTTAGTGCATACATTTTATTTTATTTTTCATACTGGCCCCCCGTGGGAATCGAACCCACAACCCTGGCGTTGCAAGCGCCATGCTCTACCAACTGAGCTACACGGGGCCCTATGTGATCACTACATGGAATACAAATTTGTTTACCTGGGGAATAAATTGGGGATCATTCAGGTTCTTCTTTGAACTAGTTTTATGAAGTGATAGCATGTTGGGAATGTTTCGTTTGTTGAATAAAACATTCAACAGTGAAGAACAAAGTTGCTCTCCTGTTTACTTCATTCATGCCACAGCCATAGATCTCTAGACTCAAACCCTATGGCGGATATGTGATGCACTACTGCAGTTCAAAGTGAATACCCACTGTCAAACTGTTCCACTGAAATCTACATGCCTTTACATATACAGATATGTCAGATTAAGATGGAGTTTGTACCTGCATAGTTCCTTCAGTATATTGTGTCTGAGAGGTCTGAAGGGCCTGTAGCTGTGTATAGTTCATTTGTCTGAGTGCGTTTAAGAAAAACTCATATCAAAGGGTTCTGTAATGAAACCAGGCAGGGTGGAGCGATAGACGATCAAAAGAGGAAGAAGTGTACAGGCTTTCATCCTCTCTCTCTTTCTCTTTCTCTCTTTCTCTTTTTTTAAGGGGCTTTATTGGCATGGGAAACATGTTTACATTGCCAAAGCAAGTGAGATAGATAATAAACAAAAGTGATTTTTTTTTTTTTTTTTTTAAATAACAGTAAACATTACACTCACAAAAGTTCCAAAAGAATAAAGACATTTCAAATGTCATATTATGTGCAAATAGTTAAAGTACAAAAGGGAAAATAAATAAACATAAATATGGGTTGTATTTACAATGGTATTTGTTCTTCACTGGTTGCCCTTTCCTGGTGGCAACAGGTCACAAATCTTGCTGCTGTGATGGCACACTGTGGTATTTCACCCAATAGATATAGGAGTTTATCAAAATTGGGTTTGTTTTCTAATTATTTGTGGGTCTGTGTAATCTGAGGGAAATATGTGTCTCTAATATGGTCATACATTTGGCAAGAGGTTAGGAAGTGCAGCTCAGTTTCCACCTCATTTAGTTGGCAGTGTGCACATAGCCTGTCTTCTATTGAGAGCCAGGTTTGCCTACGGCGGTCTTTCTCATTAGCAAGGCAATGCTCACTGAGTCTGTACATAGTCAAAGCTTTCCTTAAGTTTGGGTCAGTCACAGTGGTCAGGTATTTTGCCACTGTGTACTCTCTGTTAATTATTTCCAATGTGTCAAATAATTATCTTTTTGTTTTCTCATAATTTGGTTGTGTCTAATTGTGTTGCTGTCCTGGGGCTCTGTGGGGTCTGTTTGTGAACAGAGCCCCAGGACCAGCTTGCTTAGGGGACTCTTCTCCAGGTTCATCTCTCTGTAGGTGATGGCTTTGTTATGGAAGGTTTGGGAATCGCTTCCTGTTAGGTGGTTGTAGAATTTAACTCCTTTCTTTCTCTCTTTCTTAGGATGGCACATGATTGGCAGCGAGGTAGAAGTAGGAGTCACCACCGATATGAGGAAGACGTTGAGGGTGAGTATGGCAACACAGTTGTGTAGTGTGTGCATTGTCCACTGTATGGACGGAGCAGACATCTGTACATTCAGTAAGTCAAGTAAAGGGTTCCGGAAGATAATGTTGTGTGGATGGTAACCATCTCTGTCTCCTCCTTTCTGTATACTCTCTCTGTCCCGCTCTCTCTCAGAACCCCAGCCAGTGTATATTGGCGTTCCGGTAACACACGGTTACAGCAAAAGGAGACGCCGTAAACACCGCTCCCAACGCGAACACGAGAAACATCACGCACACCGCGTCCAACACACACACCACGAACACACACATCACGAACACATACACCATGACCATCACCATGACTACCAGGAACACTACAAAGAGGAGGAGGAGCAGGAACAACATGACATATTTGACCCTGACTCCACAGGTGGGCACTCACATACACACATACACAGACTTACAAGTGCAGACACACACACTTTGAGTAGTACACACATGTGAGAAGCATATGACCAGCCACAGTTGTTACTGTCTTGAGGAATGATCCCCTGTCATTACCAGGCATGTTTATAACTAGCAGCAGGGTGTGTGTGTGTGTGTGTGTGTGTGTGTGTGTGTGTGTGTGTGTGTGTGTGTGTGTGTGTGTGTGTGTGTGTGTGTGTGTGTGTGTGTGTGTGTGTGTGTGTGTACTCGCATGCGTGCGTGTAATGAATGTTTCCAAGCATGGTTCCTGTTCCCATGGGGGCCAGTGTTTTGAAGCTGGTAAGCTGATTTAGAGCTGAGGAACTAAAACCCTGGTATACCACCGGTCCTGTGTGCGTGTGCATACGTGCGTATTTGTTCAGGGGGGTCGACTGCCCCAATTCCACAGGAGAAATATGTCATGTCACTGACTCACCAGAGTTGACACCGGTTACTTCAGAGAATAGATCATGGGATGGTTGGAGGCAAGGAGAAGAACCGGACACAAAAGGTGAAGGAAGGAGTGCACAGCCAAAAGGTGAAGGAAGGAGTGCACAGCCAAAAGGTGAAGGAAGGAGTGCACAGCCAAAAGGTGAAGGAAGGAGTGCACAGCCAAAAGGTGAAGGAAGGAGTGCACAGCCAAAAGGTGAAGGAAGGAGTGCACAGCCAAAAGTGGAGTGAAGTTGAAGTAGTAGTTGTTGTGTGCACGTGTGTGTGTCACAGGGTTAAGGGTACTTGAGGCTGCTGCGGTGGGTGTGTGCGTAGGTGCATATGTGTGTGTGTCCGTGCACGTGTCAGGGTGGGGAGTACTTCAGGGTGCTGTGGGGTATGTTTTGGCCTCTTAAGCCTCTTGGCCCTTCACTGCTCCGGAGATTTCAGTGGATTTCTGCTTCAGATTAAAGCAGACCAAAACAGCTTCACAAGAACACAGCACAGCAGTTCTGGAGCAGGACGGAACACACAGAACAGAGTGCAGCCCTTTGGACCGCTGGGTTCTGACTGACGACACACCATCCCACACACGGCAAAACATGGCTCACTAAACAAAGAATGCCTATTGTATAGCGAAAGGTGTTGAGGCAGAGTTGGGAAAAACAGAAGAAAGTAAAGCTATAAGAAGAGGAGGAACAAGTTGAGAGGGAGAACGGAAGAGCAGGAAAGTTGTGGAGAGGAAAGAAAGAAGGAGGGAAGGAGTGTGTCCACTCTTCTCCTGGTTGTCCTGTCTGTGGAGGTCTAGCCTTGACTCCAGCACCTCTAGCTTTCACCAGAACAAGCCAATTGTCAAACGGGAATACGGTGTTGGGGTCTTGTCTGGTACCGCGAGACTAGTGGAGTGCTACCTCTCTGGGCTGGACGGACATTGACAGCAGCATCCTGTAGAGTGTTGACCTATCAGCGGGTTGGGGATATCTCTCTTTGAGCTGCTGGTAGTACAGGTGCATACTAAACGTCTCTGGTTGTGGTTCCTGTGGTTAGTCATGGAGGACTCTGGTTCCTCCATCACCTCCAGCATGGCCTCTCGCTGGACACTGCCTGGCTCACACACAGGTAAAAACAGGAAGAGAGGAGGGGAGGAGGTACAGAGAACAGGAAAAGAATGGAGTGGACAGCTGGATCTTAATGTTTATTTACTTTCTTATTATAACTATGTTGTTGGTGTCATTGCTGTGTAGTATTGGTTCTTATTTGGGTGTATTTCAGGGGTGACTTGTCAGTTATCTGTTCACCTTCGCCATTTTGGAACTGATTTAAAAAATGACATTGAACAACAACCTGTGTGTAATATGTGTTCGTCACATGGACATGGCATTGGAGGTGTCATATGAGGCCTGTTTCTCTCAACCTCTGGTCTTTGGACCAGTACCGGTCCCTGGGATGTTACTGAGCGGTCCCTCAAGTAGATTGAACATAGATTAGTTCTCGTGTGATAGTTTGGATCTAAGGTGGAGAACCATAGCAAGGTGTCTGAACATGTATGCACTCACTAACTGTAAGTCGCTCTGGATAAGAGCGTCTGCTAAATGACTAAAATGTAAATGTAAAAAATGTGTCTGTTTGTCTTTGACTGGAGTCTGAGGTCAAGAGCAGCCACTCGTCTCAGTGCTCTCTGAAGGACCAGTCTTTCTCTGTCTGTCTTCTCTCTTTCTCTGATTCACTCTGTTTCCTCTCTCACTCCCTCTCTGTGAACTATATTAGATTGCATTTTGTATAAAATATGGGCCTCAAGGTCTGCATGTCGGTCTGTCTGTCTGTCCTCACCCACTGGGCACAGACGTCAATTCAACATCTATTCCACATTGGTTCAATGTAATTTTATTGAAATGGCATGGAAACAACGCTGATTCAACCAGTGTAATCTCTTAGAAACAGGGCCTTTCCATGTGTTGTTCATGCTGGCTGACTCTTGGCCAGTGCTGGGCAGTGCTCTTAGGCAGTGTGATGCTTAGCTTAGCTACCCAATGACGAGAGGAAGGTTATTCATTGGCTGTTATTCATTGACTGTATAGAAGGGGTGAGGAGTGAGAGAAGGTTTAGATGGATCAGGGTGAGGGTGCAGGGGGGTGTTTACCCGCATTGACTGGGACTCTGGGACTGACGAGGTGAGTGGGTTAAAGATTAGAGGTGTTGTTTTGGGTTAGGGGTCGAAGGGAACTCACACAGGATCAAAATAAGCTACAGTAGGACCACCAGGAGAGGAGCGACACACACTCACACACACACACACACACAGTGGTGTGATGGCAGTGTTATTAGAGCCCTGGGGCTAGGAGCATGTTAATGAGCTTTGATCCACGGACAGGAAATTCTGAGAGAGTCCTGGTTGGTCACACTACGTCCTATTTAGTTACAGTTGTGGGCTAAACATTTTTAAATGGTTCCTAATAGTTCCAAATAAACAAATAAATAAATACACACATTCTTTTAAACTTCTGATAACTTGATGCCCCAGTTTAGTGCACGCTGTCACGACAGTCCAAAGCTGTTGCATCAACTGTCAATCAACCGTACATCCTAGTGGAATATCTTATACAGTACTCACACACATTGTTAGTAAAAGTGTTTGATGCATAGATACATATATGTTCTAATTCTATTTATATAGTTTGATATTTCTTCTCTTGTGAACTCCATTTCCCAGTGTCCCCGGCGGCGGAGAGGCTGCGCTACATCCTGAGTGAAGATGATGACGTGCCGACGCCCACTCTGTTTACAGAGATGGACACACTGCAACACGATGGAGACGAGATGGAGTGGAAAGAGTCTGCTAGGTACACACACACATACCTCAACCATTTGTGTGTTTCCACCCTGGAGTGTGTGCCCTCATTAGTTTGAGATTGTTGGGGGGGCTTTAGGTGGGATTTAGGGGGAGGTGTTGGTCGATTAGTTTCATTAGAAGAGTGTTAGCAGCAGAGCCCTACAGTAGTGTCACGGAGCTGGTGTCAGTCCACCCTGCCTTAATAACCAGATATGGAAACGGTTTCTGGTTTCTCTCCCTCCTCTCCAGGTGGGTGAAGTTTGAGGAGAAGGTGGAGGAGGGAGGAGAGAGGTGGAGCAAGCCCCATGTGTCCACCCTGACCCTCCACAGTCTGTTTGAGCTGAGGACCTGTATACAGACCGGCAGTGTACTGCTGGACCTGGAGGGATACTCCCTGCCACAGATAGTGGGTGAGTGTGTGTATGTGTGACCCAGACTATGGCCCATTCCCAAATCAAGTCCTAGTTGTCCCTATTCCCTGTGCACTTCTGGAGATCAGAACCATTTTTTATAGGTGTAAGCAATATGGTTAAAATCCATCTTGCCCTCTGATAGGCCAGGCGGAAGTGCATAAGGAAGTGGATAGGGGCTAGGGGTTGATTTGGGATTGAGCACAACTGACTCTAGAACTCTCACCCTGACCTCTGACCCCAGATGACATCGTGGATCGCCAGGTGGCAGACGGTCTGATTGGTCCAGAACTGAGGGAGAAGGTCAGCTTTGTGTTGCTACGGAAACATCGCCACCAGCACAAGAAACCCATCCACCGCTCGCTAGCCGACATGGGCAAATCAAACACTTCCCCCACCAGTGAGTGTGTGTTGTGTTGTGTGATCTTGTTGATTTCATCTCTATCATAGTATCATGCTGACTCTACTTATACAGCAATAATATTTTCTCTCACCTCTTTTCACAAACTGCTTCACCGTCTCTCCTCTGTTTACTCCATCCTTTCTCTTTTCACTCTCCTCCACCTTTTTCTCCGCTTCTGTCTCTCTCTCCCCCTTTTCTCTCTCCCCTCTCTCCTCCCTCCCTCTGTCTTTTTCTAGGCCGTAGTCCCCAGTCTGTTCATAATGTCAGTCGTAGTAACGTCAGTCGTTTTCCTAGTTCAGCCTCTGGCCTCCATCACTCTACAGAGGACTTACGAGCCAAGTCAGGCAGCTTTGGCCGCCTGCGTGAGTCTACACACATACTCAAGCACATAGACACAAACACACACTCAATGCACGGACGCATAGACACACATGTATACATACAAACTAGTATTATTTTTACCCTCTTTTCTATCTATGATGGCTAACCTCATAGAGATATGAGTTTTAATTCACATATCTAACCTCATAACCTAATAGAGATATGTGTGTGATTTCAGTGTGTGATTGTGTGCAAGTTTTGGTCACACTGTATTTCGGAGTGCTCCTAATACACAGTAGTCTCTTGAGCCAGACGGCTTACTTCCGAAATCTTTGAATGTGCCGTTGCCCAAGGTCTGGCTACGCAAGACTAAATACACAGTGAGTCCATTTTGGGGGAGGGGGGGGGGGGGGGTTGTTTGGGTGTGGGTGTCCTAACCGAGGTATGTTCCTGTTCTTTCTCTGCGACTTAATTTGTCCCTAAATCATAAATCAGCTTTTGGGGGAATGATCCATTAGGTCTAACCGGCCGTTGAAACAATCAGGCATGCTCTGCTCACACACCCAAGCCATCTACAGTGCCACACAAAGACATACATTCACACAATAGCTAAAGCTGATATTTGCCTACAAAGATGGGTTAGAGACGTCTACTACTGCCTCTTATACTCCATGTCAAAATTAAACGTACACTACACAAACATTAAACTGTGAATACGCAGAGAAGATTACTAACTTTTCGTCTAGATGGGAAACTTAGACTTTCACCTACCTAAGTCATTCATTGGTGTCAATAGGGGAATAGTGTGAGCATGTTATTGTGCATGTGAGTTTGTGTGGAGTACAATAGTAATTGGTGTGTGTCTACCTGTTTTTGATCTGTTTCAGATCCTGCGCTAAGTCAAAGTATGAACGATATTTCAGACAAGCCAAGCACAGACCAGGTAACACCAAAGATCATTGTTCTGTGTGTGTGTGTGTGAATAATGATGGAAAAGTTATTACATTGCACAACCCTAAGCTCCTGTTGTTCGTCTCGGCTTAATTGTTTGGGTCCGTCCACCCGTCAAGAGAGAGGGGGAGAGGGAGAGAGAGGATAAATAATATTACTGTTCTCATGTGAGTCACTTGCCTTTCCTTTCGAGGTGTGCCAGATGACAGATTTGAGTATTATTGTTTAGCTGTGGATGGAGATGGTGGGGTGGGGGTGGGAGAGACGCTGAGTATGTGTAGGGGGCTTTGGGTCAATGCCCACCCTGACAGAGTTTGGGGGACTTCAAAGCCACACATACACCATCTGAGTCTACTTGAATGATTTACTCTGGCTTGATAACCAGGATTGGGGAGTAACAGATTACAAAAAAACTGTCAATGTAATTTGTTACGTTACCAGCAAAAATATTGTAATCAGATTACAAATACTTTTGAAAAACTAGATGATTACTTCGAGGATTACTTTTACATTCCGAAAGGATGAAAAGTATTTGACACCGGAGGAGAAAAGGAGAAATGCTCACTAACAGGGATGTAAACAGATTTGTCCACAATTTGAGAGAAATAAGCTTTTTGTGCGTATGTAAAATGTATGTTCTCTTTTATTTCAGACCAACACTTTACGTGTTGCGTTTTATATTTTTGTTCAGTATAGTAACTGTAACAGATTACATTTAGAAAGTAACTTGCCCAGCCCCGTTGAGAACCCTCCGTTCACTTTGAACTGCCGCCACACACAAACACATATCCATATTCTCATATTCAAACTTTTGTACATGTAGGAGCCTTGACAGCCCGGCTTTAACCAGCACCTGACGAGGTCACAGAGAGAGAAAGCCTGAGACTGTATGGAGGGATTGTTTACGTCTGTTCAAGGCAGTAAGTTACTAGCAGAGTACTCTTAGAAAAAAGGATTGCAAAAGGGTTATTCGGCAATCCCCATGGGATAACCCTTTGAATAACCCTTTTGGGTTTCAAGTAGAACCCTTTTGGGTTCCATGTAGAACCCTCTGTGAAAAGGGTTCCACCCAAAAGGGTTCTACCTGTAACCCAAAATGGTTCTTCAAAGGGTTCTCCCATAGGGACCGAATAACCTTTTTAGCGAGAGATGGGGAGGGAGAGATGGGTAGAGAGAGAGCGGGAAAGAGAGAGGTAGGGAGAGAGGTAAAGATAGATAGAGGGGGTAGAGGTAGAGCGAGGGGGGGAGAGAGAGATATAGAAAGAGAGCGAGAGAGGGAGAGAGGCAGAAGGTAGGTTGACTCTGAAAGCAACACTAAAAGATTAGCAGGTGATTTTGACCTAAGCACCAACCACTCCGCTCTCACATGCTACTGGGGAGAGGCATGTTTACCACACTGAGAGTTGAGCTTTGTGTGATTATGTATCAGTAAAGGATACAGCAGTATTGAGTGGCCAACGGTGGGTGTGTTTGTGTGTGTGTGTGTGTGTGTGTGTAGCAATATTGAGCTACAGTACCATTGGCATGTGTGTATGTGCCTCATGTCCTATGCATCACATGCAGTGAGTGATCAGCTATCGATTAGATATCAACACTGACATAATGATGTCTGCGGATGCGTGTTCTTCTAGCCAAGATATGAAATGCAATCATAATTGACTGTAGCGCATATAAAGCACACACAACAGCTACCGGTGGTTCCATGATAACTGAAAACACAACTGTGGTACGAACAAGTGACACATTTCCGGGCAAGGGTGGTCCATTTAATATTCATTCATTCTTCCCTTACCCTGCAAGTGTCAACTCATCATAAGTCATGCATGATACGTCACCAGAAGTGTCCACTTAATTTGAGGCCTGAGGGGAGAGGGTGTGTCTTGTACGTGTTTGGAATGCAGACCTGGTCTCTCTTTCATCTCTAAATAAATCTCTCATGTTCCTCTGCCACCTCTCCGTCTCCATTCTCTCTCTCTTACTCTACCATCCTGCTTTCTCCCCCCTAGATGAAAAACAAGTTCATGAAGAAGATTCCTCGTGATGCAGAGGCGTCCAACGTTCTGATTGGAGAAGTCGACTTCCTGGATAAACCGTTTGTAGCGTTCGTACGTCTGGCCCAGGCTACCACACTGGGAGGCCTGACTGAGGTCCCTGTACCTACCAGGTGTGTGTGTGTGTGTGTGTGTGTGTGTGTGTGTGTGTGTGTGTGTGTGTGCTGCTGCTCTACAGCTGTTAACCCCTTGTCTCCTGGCAGGTTTCTGTTTGTCTTGCTGGGTCCTCATGGCAAAGGCAAGTCCTACAACGAGATTGGCCGAGCCATCGCCACGCTCATGGTGGATGACGTAAGAATGAGCGAATCCTTTTTTGGTGTGCTTAAATGTTCATTAAGCTGAGTCAAGTTACAAAAAACCGAATGAGGGACAAAAGTTTTTGATTGTTTTCATTTGTTTGTTTTTTCGTTATTCAGTGGATATGTTACCTTACACACTCAATCAGTATGTTACAGCCAGGGCTCTGCAGTTAATCTCTGACCTCTTTATTGACATACACACACACACCATCATATGCTGTGTGTAACTGTGTGCTCTGCTGTCCTGTCAGTTGTTCAGTGACGTGGCGTATAAAGCCCGGGACCGTGATGACCTGATCGCTGGGATTGATGAGTTTCTGGATGAGGTCATTGTTCTGCCCCCAGGGGAGTGGGACCCCAAAATACGCATCGAGCCCCCCAAGAAGGTCCCCTCTGCTGACATGAGGTACAAACTATTTATTTAGTGACTGACTGATTAACTGAAACATTGAGTTTAGTCTAGTAGGATCCTCGTTAGATGTTGCATAAAGCCCCAGCTATTCTTCCTGGGTTAGTTAGTTGGTTAGTTAGTCCAAACTCAACACTGAACCTCCACCCCCCCCTACCCAAAAGGAAGTCTGTGCTGAACCTGAACGAGCTAGGCCAGGTGAACGGGACGGCTGGGGGGGCAGGAGGAGGAGAGGACGAGGTGATGCCCGCCCCCCACGAACTGGGAGAGGAACTGCAATTCACTGGCAGGTATGGGAGCACTGGGTGGTCTACTTTCCTATCATTTAATCTCCAGGCCCCCAAAGTACCATGCAGGCACTCTGGCATCACAATTGTCATTTGAAACCAATAAAAACAATTTGAAGCAGAGGCCAATAGAACTAGCCGGGGGGGGGCTTACCTGTGTGTGTGTGTCCCAGGTTCTGTGGAGGCCTGTGGCTGGACATTAAGAGGAAGGTTCCGTGGATCCTTAGTGATTTCTCCCAGGGCTTTCACATCCAGTCCATCTCTGCTGTTCTGTTCATCTACCTGGGCTGCATCACCAACGCCATCACCTTCGGAGGCCTGCTGGGGGACGCCACAGACAACTACCAGGTACAGTGAGGGAAAAAAGTATTTGATCCCCTGCTAATTTTGTACATTTGCCCACTGACAAAGAAATGATCAGTCTATAATTTTAATGGTAGGTTTACTTGAACAGTGAGAGACAGAATAACAACAAAAAAATCCAGAAAAACGCATGTCAAAAATGTTATAAATTGATTTGCATTTTAATGAGGGAAATAAGTATTTGACCCCTCTGCAAAACATGACTTAGTACTTGGTGGCAAAACCCTTGTTGGCAATCACAGAGGTCAGACGTTTCTTGTAGTTGGCCACCAAGTTTTCACACATATCAGGAGAGATTTTGTCCCACTCCTCTTTGCAGATCTTCTCCAAGTCATTAAGGTTTCGAGGCTGACGTTTGGCAACTTGAACCTTCAGCTCCCTCCACAGATTTTCTATGGGATTAAGGTCTGGAGACTGGCTAGGCCACTCCAGGACCTTAATGTGCTTCTTCTTGAGCCACTCCTTTGTTGCCTTGGCCGTGTGTTTTGGGTCATTGTTATGCTGGAATACCCATCCACGACCCATTTTCAATGCCCTGGCTGAGGGAAGGAGGTTCTCACCCAAGATTTGATGGTACATGGCCCCATCCATCGTCCCTTTGATGCGGTGAAGTTGTCCTGTCCCCTTAGCAGAAAAACACCCCCAAAGCATAATGTTTCCACCTCCATGTTTGATGGTGGGGATGGTGTTCTTGGGGTCATAGGCAGCATTCCTCCTCCAAACACGGCGAGTTGAGTTGATGCCAAAGAACTCCATTTTGGTCTCAACTGACCACAACACTTTCACCCAGTTCTCCTCTGAATCATTCAGATGTTCATTGGCAAACTTCAGATGGGCATGTATATGTGCTTTCTTGAGCAGGGGGACCTTGCGGGTGCTGCAGGATTTCAGTCCTTCACGGCGTAGTGTGTTACCAATTGTTTTCTTGGTGACTATGGTCCCAGCTGCCTTGAGATCATTGACAAGATCCTTCCGTGTAGTTCTGGGCTGATTCCTCACCGTTCTCATGATCATTGCAACTCCACGAGGTGAGATCTTGCATGGAGCCCCAGGCCGAGGTAGATTGACAGTTCTTTTGTGTTTCTTCCATTTGCGAATAATCGCACCAACTGTTGTCACCTTCTCACCAAGCTGCTTGGCGATGGTCTTGTAGCCCATTCCAGCCTTGTGTAGGTCTACAATCTTGTCCCTGACATCCTTGGAGAGCTGTTTGGTCTTGTCCATGGTGGAGAGTTTGGAATCTGATTGATTGATTGCTTCTGTGGACAGGTGTCTTTTATACAGGTAACAAGCTGAGATTAGGAGCACTCCCTTTAAGAGTGTGCTCCTAATCTCAGCTCGTTACCTGTATAAAAGACACCTGGGAGCCAGAAATCTTTCTGATTGAGAGGGGGTCAAATACTTATTTCCCTCATTAAAATGCAAATCAATGTATAAAAATTTTGACATGCGTTTTTTCAGGATTTTTTTGTTGTTATTCTGTCTCTCACTGTTCAAATGAACCTACCATTAAAATTATAGACTGATCATTTCTTTGTCAGTGGGCAAACGTACAAAATCAGCAGGGGATCAAATACTTTTTTCCCTCACTGTATACCCACACACACATACACATACACACCAACATGCATAAGTTACACACCTTCTCCACTTCTAAGTACACACACACACCTGTCTCAACTCTGCTCCCCCTCCCCTCTCTCTGTGTCAGGGTGTGATGGAGAGTTTCCTGGGTACAGCGTTAGCAGGAACAGTGTTCTGTCTGTTAGGAGGTCAGCCCCTCATCATTCTCAGTTCTACCGGACCCATCCTCATCTTCGAGAAATTGCTCTACGAGTTCTGCAAGTGAGCCATACACACATGCACGGTATCTGTCTGATCCTTGTTTTGTGCACTTAGTTTGTTTCTTCTGATGCTGGTGTGTGTGTGTGTGTGTGTGTGTGTTTGTCCCAGGTCTAACACTATAGACTACATGGAGCTACGTCTGTGGATTGGTCTCCACTCCTGTCTGCAGTGTCTGATCTTGGTCGCCACGGACGCCAGTTACATCATCAAATACATCACACGCTTTACCGAGGAGGGCTTCTCCAGCCTCATCTCCTTCATCTTCATCTCCGACGCCATCAAGAAGATGGTGGGTCACACACATGGGCGCACGCACTCACACAAGCACACCCTCACACACTGTCTTAACTGTTTATCTAATGTGTTACTACAGGTGGGATCCTTTAAGTACTACCCTATCAACCGTGGCTTCAAGCCTGACTACGTTACCACATACAGGTGTGAATGTATCGCACCAGACCAGGGTGAGCTTTCCTCCTCCTCTCCATCCTCTTCTTCTACTGTCTTTCCTCCTCATATCATTCTTCCTCTTCTCCCATTCTTCCTCCTCCCACTCGTCCTCCTCCTCCCCTCTCCTTCTTATTTGGGAGCTTTACTAGAACTCACACCAATGAAGTGCAGTATTGCCATCTGCAGGACAGTTTAGGGAGTTCACATCCTTGACATTGCTATTCCAAACATATCCCCTAGTTTGGGGGATGTGTATACTATAATAATAATACTTTGGGGGGGGTGCTTATATTTTCCTGTTACACACAAGTGCGTAATGAAAATATGTTTTTTTGCATATTCCAACTCCCCCTGAGACACCCAAAGGGAGTGGGGTCATGGCCTGGGTCTCCATTGTACAGCGCCCCTGGAGCACAGCAACAGATTTTTTCACCTTGTCGGCTCCGGTATTCGAACCAGCCACCTTTCGGTTACTGGCCCAACACTCTAACCTCGAGTCTACCTGCCGTCCCTTGTACTGTCTGTGTTCGCTCTCCTAACTACTGTAACTGATGCGTGTGCTGTCTGTTTCTGCTTCTCTCTCTCTCTCTCTCTGGCTGCTATCTGAGTGAGTATACCTCTATTGCTACAGCATGCTACAAGTCTGTCATGTTCCCATAAAACTGGCATCATGTAATCTAGCTGGGGCACCTGACTTCTCTCTATCTCTCTTTCTCTAACAGCTGCTGCGATGGGTTTTAATGTTTCAGTTCCACTAGCAGACGATAACATGACTGATTTGGTAAGTGGCTCGGGAACTAACGGGGAGTCATTCACTCATCTGTTTCTCAGATGGTTGAGTCTATGGGGGACAGTCTGCCTGTGGTCAAAATAGACTGTAGGACTTAACATAGTCACCGGACTAGCAGCACTGTGCTGCCTGTCCACTTCTGTTTCTGCACTACTCTGTATTCCCTCTTCCCTTGTTTTTTTTTTCTTCTCTCTCTCTCTCTCTCTCTCTCTCTCTCTCTCTCTGTCTGTCTGTCTGTCTGTCTGTCTAGTATAACATAACAGGTCTGGACTGGAGTCAGCTGAGTAAGAAGGAGTGTGTGAAGTATGGCGGCGCCCTGTTGGGGAACTCGTGTAAGTACGTACCTGACCTTGCCCTCATATCCTTCATCCTGTTCTTCGGGACCTACTCCATGACCGTCTCCCTCAAGAAGTTCAAGACCAGCCGCTACTTCCCCACCAAGGTGAGAGACACAGGGGGACATAGAATATGAGACAATGGATGCAGGGGATCATTGTTTGGTGTTTTTTGGGTGATGGGTAGATAGTGTAAACTCAACGTCTTCCCTTAGCTGTCAACTCCCCCCTCCCCCCCCCCCCCCCCCCTCCATCACCACCCTGTCACCTCTCCCCATTTTACCCCTCTCCTTCTCCCCAACCCCCCCCATCCTCCCCCACCCTTTCATTTCCCGTCCATGTCCCTCCTCTTCCTGTCTGTGCTCCAGTGCCGTTCCCTGATTGGTGATTTCTCCATCATCATCTCCATCCTGGTATTCTGTGGGATAGACTACCTGTTAGGCCTGGACACGCCTAAACTGCACGTGCCCACTGAAATCAAGGTCTTCTCCTCCCCTCATCCATCGCTCCCTCTCTCTCTCTCTCTCCTGCTCGTTCTCTCCCTCTATATCTTCCTTCTTGCTGAAATGATTAGCGATCAAAAGTATCTTTAAGTGAATGATTTTCAGACATTAACATACTGACATTCACACTTCTCTCTTTTATTTCATCCCTCTCTCCTGTATTTGTTTTGTACCTCTCTGTCTTTTTCTCTGCATCTCTTCCGCCCCTCTTTTTGTCTGTCTGTTTGTCTGCCTGTCTGTTTGATTCTTTATCTGTGTGTGTGGGTGGGCCTAGCTAAGGAAGCTGATCAGTGATTTCTCCATCTTCATGTCAATCATGACGTTTGTGGGTCTGGATATGCTTGTAGGGCTGGACACACCCAAACTAATCGTACCCACAGAGTTTAAGGTATTTCTAATCCTTAACCCAATATGTGTCCGTGTGCGTGATTCACAGATGCATGCATTGTCAGTGTGATTCAATCTGTTTGATTTTGGCCTATGTGTATGAGTTGCATGTGAGTTGCATGTGTAGTCCATACAGGACTCACTTGAAAAAGAGACCTGGGTCTCAAAGTAACTCCCTGTGTAAATAAAGGTTACATAAATGCGTGTGTGTTGTAGCCGACGCGTCCAGACCGTGGCTGGGTGGTGATGCCGTTTGGTAAGAACCCGTGGTGGGTATATGTGGCCAGTGCCGTCCCTGCTCTCCTGGTAACCATCCTCATCTTCATGGACCAACAGATCAGCGCTGTCATCGTCAACCGCAAAGAGAACAAACTCAAGGTACAGTAAGGCCGCAATAATAACCTAACATGACTGCAACCATAAACACACTTACTTACTTAGGCCTGTCGCTCCCAAGGGAGCATAGGCCATCGGCGAATCCTCTCCATCGCACTCTGTTCTGAGCTGTGTTCTCCAAAAAACATCAACATAAATACAATATAAACACGACCATTCAATAACCATAAATACAACCAGGAACACATCTCTTGAATGCTATCTCTCCCCTCCCTTACGCTCCACTCCCCATCTCCTCCCCTCCTTCTCCCTCCCCTCCAACAGAAAGGTTGTGGGTACCATCTAGACCTCTTCTGGGTGGGTATTCTGATGGCAGTGTGCTCCTTCCTGGGCCTGCCCTGGTACGTGGCTGCTACTGTCATCTCCATCGCCCACATCGACTCTCTGAAGATGGAGAGTGAGTCCAGCGCCCCAGGAGAGCAGCCCCAGTTCCTGGGAGTCAGGTAGGGAGGGGAACGGGGTTTGTATGAGTGAGGAGAGATCTAGATGTTGTGTGTGTGACAGGGTGAGTGTGTTAGAGGTTGACGGTGATGTTTGTTCTAACTGTGTGTGTGTGTTATACGTAGAACAGAGGTTGACGGTGATGTTCTAACTGTGTGTGTGTTTTACAGGGAGCAGAGGTTGACGGGTATTCTGGTGTTTGTCTTAACTGGAGTTTCCATCTTCCTAGCTCCTGTCCTTCAGGTGAGTCAGTGAGAGAATGGGCCTCCACTTCACATAGTGGGTGGTGTTATGGAGGATTGTGTTAACTTGTATATTGTGTTTCCCCCAGTATATCCCCATGCCTGTTCTCTACGGTGTCTTCCTCTACATGGGAGTAGCCTCACTCGCAGGAATACAGGTACATTTATGTGTGTGTATGTGCACTCGTATGCCTGTCTGTGTGTGTGTACTCACCCTCTTCCTCTCTCTCTCCTAGTTCTGGGAACGTATCAAGCTGTACCTGATGCCAGCCAAGCACCAGCCAGACTTCTCCTTCCTGCGTCACGTTCCTCTGCGGAGGGTCCATCTCTTCACCCTGGTCCAGATCATCTGTCTGGCTGTCCTCTGGATCCTCAAGTCTACTGTAGCTGCCATCATCTTCCCTGTCATGGTGATTGCACTGTGTGTGTGTCTGTGTTGGAGGGGTAGTGGTTTATCCTGTCGTGGAAATTCAACACCATGGACACCTAAAGTCAATATTAAATTAATAATGATTTATTATCAGCAAGCTGGAGAGGTTCCAACAAACTTAATGCACCATAGTACACGTCAGACGGGAGCTCCGTCGGGGCAGTCCCATTAGTTATCTTATATACTGCTTACACAGACAAGTTATATTTGCATGATTTACATGATCCATTATTCATAATTAATTCATCATTAACTTTTGGTTCATGCATGTGACTCACCAATACCTCACGAGGCTTCTACTCTCCAAGCTGAGACCTTGAAACTAAGATATCCCTTTCCGTTCTCAAAGCAATATTCTGGGCGTACAGCCAAATTGCTTATACTGATAGTGAGGATTCCGCCCAGGCACAATCAATCAGTCACTTGCATGAACCCAGTCGAATTGGTTATTAGAAAAGCACAAACATAAAATGTTCCTTCACACTCCTCTCCTAGGCAATCAGCAATTAGTACCGGGAGGTGTGCTCTTCACCTCTGCAAGGCAATTAGTGTTAGTACTTCAGTCTACCCTGTTTTCTCAGCGGCTGTCTCATTGCAAAACTAAGACCACCACTGAAACAAAGACAGTTCGGCCGAGTTATTCTGCCGAGTTATTTGAGGAAGGAAAGACAGGAAGACTCCACACCACTCTCTCATTTGAGGATCTTACGTAGTTGTTTTCAGATGATCTCATTTTGCTCTTTTGTAGTTTTGTCAACTATGTGTGTGTTTTCTATACCTGTTCGCTCCTCTCCCTGTAGGCTTTACAGACGCTCCCCACCCCTTGGCTGCAACCCTTCTAATTTAGTGTACCCTGCACGCACAACCCCTGTAGAATTCCTGGTCTATGGCAGCGTTTGGAACTGCCGATCTGCGGTCATGCATCTCGGCCTATGCTGCCCTTCAGTCCCTTGACTTGGCCCTGACGGAGACACGGATCACCCCATAGAAAGCTGCTACTCCAGCAGCTCTCTTCATCGGACTACGTTTTCTCTCATAGTCCAAGAGCATCTGGTCGTTGTGGTGGTGGCACAGAGCTACTAATTTCTCCTGTGGAGATTTTCTATTTTCTCCCTCACACCTGTCCATCTCCTCATTTGAATTCCATGCTGTCACGGTCACTTGTCCACTCAAGCTTAACATTGTTGTCATCTATCACCCACCAGGTCCCCTTAGAGTTCCTCAATGAGCTTGATAAGTTAATTTCCTGACGATGGCTCACCGCTCTTTGTACTTGGCGACTTCAACCTTCCTACGTCTGCCTTCAATGAATTGATTTCTAACTCTTTCTTTCCTCTCCTTGCCTCTTTTGACCTCCACCCTTTCCCAGTCTCCTCCCACTCACAAGGCAGGCAATATGCTTGACCTCATTTTACTAGAGGCTGTTTGCCTACTAATCTCACTGCAACCCCCCTCCAAGTCTCTGATCACTACTTTGTTTCCTCTTCTGTCTCCCTCTCCTCCAACCCTAGCCTATCAGCCCCTAGCCAGACCTATCATCCTTTCATTTCCTCCTCTCTACCTTCTCTTCCTCTGTATCTGCTGCTAAAGCCACTTTCTATCCCTCTAAATGTCAAGCTCCTGCCTCTAACCCTAGGAAACTCTTTTCCACCTTCTCCCCCCCCCCCCCCCCCCCCCCCCCCAACTTTGTCAACCACTTTGAAAAGAAGGTTAATGACATCCGTTCCCCATTCACTCAGCCTATAGAGTCCACTGGTCCCACTCACACAGAACTACCCTACGCCTTTCTCCCCCCTCTTCAGATGAAATCATGCAACTAGTGAGGTCCGGCCGCACAACAACCTGCCCACTCGACCCCATCCCCTCCTCCCTTCTCCAGACCATCTCTGGAGACCTTCTCCCATACCTCACTTCCTTCAAACTGGTCAGTCACTCCCCTCCTCAAGAAACCAACACTTGACCCCTCTGACGTAAAATACTACCGGTATCCCTTCTTTCTTTTATTTTCTAAACACTTGAGCATGCTGTCTCTGACCAACTCTCTCGCTATCTCTCTCAGAACGATCTTCTTGACCCTAACCAGTCAGGCTTCAAGACGGTTCACTCAACTGAGACTGCTCTTCTCTGTGTCACAGAGGCTCTCCGCACTGCCAAAGCTAACTCTCTCTCCTCTGTTCTCATCCTCCTAGATCTATCCGCTGCCTTCGAAACCGTGAACCACCAGATTCTCCTCTCCACCATCTCAGGGCTGGTCGTCTCAGGCTCTTCACACTCTTGGATTGCATCCTACCTGGCAGGCCGCTCCTACCAGGTGGCGACACGCATCTCTGCGTGCCTGGCAGATATCTCAGATTGGATGTCGGCCCACCACCTCAAACTCAACCTCAACAAGACGGAGCTGCTCTTCCTCCCGGGGAAGGCCTGCCCACTCCAAGACCTCTCCATCATGGTTGACAACTCCACGGTGTCCCCCTCCCAAAGTGCAAAGAACCTTGGCGTGACCCTGGAAAACACCATGTCGTTCTTTGCAAACATCAAAGCGGTGACTCACTCCTGCAGGTTCATGGTCTACAACATTCGTAGCATACAGCCCTGCCTCACACAAGAAGCGGCGCAGGTCCTAATCCAGGCACTTGTCATCTCCCATCTGGACTACAACTCAATGTTGGCTGGGCTCCCCACTTGTTCCATCAAACCCCTGCAACTTATTCAGAATGCTGCAGCCCGCCTGATGTTCAACCTTCCCAAATTCACCCATGTCACCCCGCTCCTCTGCACACTCCACTGGCTTCCAGTCGAAGCTCGCATCCACTACAAGACCATGATACTTGCCTATGGAATAGCAAGAGGAACTGCCCCTCCCTTCCTTCAGACTATGCTCATACCCGACACCCAAACCTGAGCACTCTGTTCTGCCACCTCTGGTCTTTTGGCCCTCCCACCCCTATCGGAGGGCAGCTCCCACTCAGCCCAGTCCAAGCTCTTCTCTGTCCTGGCACCCTAATAGTAGAACCAGCTTCCCCCTGAAACTAGGACAGCAGAGTCCCTGCCCATCTTCTGAAAACATCTGAAACCCTACTTCTACAAAGAGTATTTAAATAATCCCACAGCACCCGCCCCCTTCGCACCTCCTCACGCCAGATTTATGCAGCAACAGAGTGCTCCTTTTTCTTTATTCTCCCACTAGTCACCAGTGGAAGTATCCTGGGGTAAGGAATGTTTTGGGGATTTTAAAGTCCCTCAGTCGAGCACCTGATTTCCCCTATTAAGTTTAAGCGCGTTTTGGTAGACCTTCTTTCCATTGTAAATGTGTGTGTGTGTGTGTGTGTGTGTGTGGTGCATAGATTGAAGGGGATACTTTTTTTCTATGTGTAGATCCTGGGTCTGATGGTGGTACGTAAGATGATGGACCTGATGTTCTCTCAACACGACCTGGCCTGGCTGGACGACATCCTGCCGGAGAAAGACAAGAAGAAGGAGAAAGGTGGGATGAAAAAGAAAGACAACAAAAGGACCAAAGCAGCCGAGCCGGAGAGCGACGAGGAGGTGAGAGACGAGGACTAGCAGACACACACACACAGTGCCAGAATGACAGTGGGAGGAGGATGTAATGTCTGTGTGGCGTGTAGGAGTGGCTCCATCTGTTTTGTTGAGTGTTTATATCTATGCGTGTTGTTCCTCGGATTGTTATCTCTGACTAATATGTTTCTCTTTTCTCTGTCCCACAGTGTTGCTGAAAAGGCACTGTATAACACTTACTATTGCCTGTCTGTCTCGATGTTGGTCTGTGTCTGTCTGTCTGTCTGTCTGTCTGTCTGTGTGTGTCTTGATGTCTTTCTCCCTCCCAATTCCACCTGCATGGTTCAAAACTGTCTGTGGAGTAGAATTGGGCCATTTTGCTTATATTTAAACATGCAGTGTGTGTGAGCGTGTGCTTGGATGTGTGTGTGTATTTGGGGCATCATCCCTCACGTCTCTGTTAAGCCACTTCTCTATCGATTCCTCCTGCATGCTGATAGTTCCCTCCGGTTCCCCCCTCTGTCACAGCCCAAGAGTCCCCTCCCTCCTCCAGTGAAGATACCCATGGACAACATAGACCCGCCTTCAGCACCTGACCCCTCTGTAAGCCCACCCACCCAGCCCCTCGTCTCTGACTGTGAGTAAACCTCTCTTTTGAGGGACCCAAGGAATGTGGACTGTTGTGTGTATTCTTGTGATGTCATTATTGTGCGACAGAAGGAGCATATAATACTGTGATGTTACTGATGTGCAACTTTAGAGAAACTGATGTATGTTATGAGACACTGAAGGTGTTATTCTTTTTTTGGTCCTCCTTCACCAATTCTTCACTCTGCCATTCAACTCTGTGTGTGTGTGTGTGTGTGTGTGTGTGTGTGTGTGTGTGTGTGTGTGTGTGTGTGTGTGCGCGTACAGGAGACGAACGTTTACACTAGTGTCAATCCAGATGACAGTGACCGGATACATCCCCCCCGGCCCTGACACACACCGACTGGGGAGTACACTGCCAGCGTGACCACATCTACGACTACTCACACACACATGCAAAAACACACACACATACATACACTTACTACTGCCAGCTAGACTACTGACAACTACTGTACAATTACTGACACATGCACAGCTAATAACTATTAGCAAACATCCATTTACTATTAGCATTATTTACCACTGTTTTTACTTTAAAAAACGTAATACACATTGAATTTCATATAAATATATACAAATATTCTATAAACTGTAGATATGATGTGATATTTAACATGTCAACATATGTCTATTAAATTCAACTGGATAGTAGTTAGTTATTATACTTTTAAACATTGTACAAATCACAGTAGTGTCTGGGAGGCATACCCAGACACATGGATCACACGCCGCTCGGAACCATAAGTCTATAGTCCGAGGCTGTTGGAGCATAGATCGCAGTGTGTGGACTGAGGTTTATTTTCGCTCAACATATTCTCTGATCTCCAGCACCTGCTTAAGCCCACTGGATGTTGTGTATGTTTTCTTGTGCTATCCTCTGGCCCTACTGGAGATGTTTTTGTGAGGGCAGACTGATAGTCGTTAAGATACCAGAGCCCATGCGCCTGAAAGCAATGCAGAAGTTGTTTTTGTGTTTGTTTTGATGTCTTCCATGTGTAATTTATTCACTGTGTGCCATGTGGTTTGTAGCAGGAACCTCTTGTACTAATGTAAAGACTACTCTGAAGGCACAGTTGGAAAAGGAAGGGTTATAATGTGATTAGTAATCCAATATTATAATACAATGTTATTCTGCCATCTGTAAATTGACCGCAAGAAGCTATCAAATTGCTATTAATTTGCATGTCGTCGTCGTCGTCCCCCCCCCCCCCCCCCACCGCTGTATTTTCCCACTAGCAATGACCTTGCTGAATAATACTTTGTTGAGGGAAAATGTACTTGATACGATTGTGATGTTGTCTCACCCACAGTAGCTATCTTAAGATGAATTAACTAATTCTATGTCGCTCTGGATAAGAGCGTCTGCTAAATGACTCAAGTGTAAAATGTCCTGAGGGAAGGTGGTTGTTATGGGTCCGTTGGAGACGTCTACACTCTCCAGGTCTGGTCATTTACTATTGTCATATTTTGGTAATTATAAGACTTCTCTGACCTATAATGGATCAGTTGTCATTTCCATTGCCAGTCCCAGCTAGTTCTGTCAGCCACTGCTCTCTCAAGACAAGTGAATGCTGGACTCGTGTGTGTGTGTGTGTGTGTGTGTGTCTGGGACAATCAACTCCTGAGAAATAGGGAAATACACATTTTGGTTACATTATTTTACTGTAGGTTATGAACCTGCTGCAGTACAATTATGGGACTTTTGGTTGTTTCTTTTTAAACAGTACAAAACGTCCTACACACAGTGTTCTTCGTCCTCCAGCTAACACTGTGATGTATCTTCTAACACTCTCCGTTGGGAGCTTTTGTCTGTCGGGAATATCTGTCTCAACTCACCTCAACCCCACCACAATCCATAAACGTTTTGTGACCGTTCAAACACACACACACCCTCCTCTACGCCTTTCTAAATACCCCATAGCCTTTTCCCTCTGCCGTTCTCTCTGTGTGTGTGTGTGTGTGTCTGTCTGGCTGTATGAATGCACTTGCGTATGTTTGTGCATGTGTGTTTTCCCCTTATGTGATCCTGCTCTTGGCAGTCAAGGAATTATTGTCTACATTACTGTTCAGGTAGTATGGTTGAGAAGTGTAAAACTATGTTTGTGTGTGCTCATGAGACTGTGATTGTGTGAGCTCACGAGAGTGTATGTGTGTGTAACCTGGGCTGTTCCACCTGACTGTTCGTCCCTCAGAATCACTTTGCACCTGAAGATCTGCTTTCCCCCTCACCTGCTGAATCCCATGTGAGCCTTACCCACGGATCATCAACACGCCCTCCTGTTCCCCCATTTGCCATCCAGGTGGAGTCCGAGGAGACTGTCCTCTACCCACGGGTTCACGACCTTTACCCCCGCATTAACCTCTGCCCTCCGAATGGATGTTATCTGACCTCTAAGACTCAACGAGACCTGCACCAATCCAAACACTCACACTCTTGTCCCTATTACGTAGGCAACGAAACAGTACTGTAGGTTATAATAATAATATAATATAATATGCCATTTAGCAGACGCTTTTATCCAAAGCGACTTACAGTCATGTGTGCATACATTTTTACGTATGGGTGGTCCCGGGGATCGAACCCACTACCCTGGCGTTACAAGCGCCATGCTCTACCAATTGAGCTACAGAGGACCACAAGGTTGACAGCGCATAGACACACAAACACATATAACCAGTTTGGCAGTCCCCAAAACTATACAAGATTATAGTTTCTCTCCATTTGTAAATGTAACTGCTAAAATATACAAAAGTAAATGTATAAATCATTTAAAATTCCTTATATTAAGCAAACCAGAAGGCACGATTTTTTTTATTTTTATTTACGGATAGCCAAGGGCACATTCCAACACTCAGACACAATTTACAAACAAAGCATTTGAGAGGCAGTAGGGAATTGGACCATTTTCCTGTCCTACTAAGCATTCAAAATGTAACGAGTACTTTTGGGTGTCACGGAAAATGGATGGAGTAAAAAGTACATTATATTCTTTAGAAATGTTGAAAAGTAAAAGTAATCAAAAATATAAGTAGTAAAGTACAGATACCCCAAGAAACGACTTAAGTAGTACATTAAAGTATTTTTACTTTAGTACTTTACACCACTGATATAGACATGTAGAAACGTGTGCAATGTGATAAAGTACTGTTTATTGCAGGGATCCCCAATAGGCGGCCCACAGGTGGTTTTATTTGACCCCCCAAGTTTGAGCGAATTGTTATATATATAATTACATTACAGTACCAGTCAAAAGTTTGGACACGCCTACTCATTCAAAGGTTCTTTATTTTGACTATTCTACATTGTAGAATAATAGTGAAGACATCAAAACTATTAAATAACACATACGGAATCATGTAGTAACCAAAAAAGTGTTAAACAAATCAAAATATATTTTATATTCTTCAAAGTAGCCACCCTTTGCCTTGATGACAGCTTTGCACACTCTTGGCATTCTCTCAACCAGATTCATGAGGTAGTCACCTGGAATGCATTTCAATAAAGGTAAAATATGTATGTATATGAATGTATGTATGTATGTATGTATATAATTTTATTTTTTTCGGTGTTGGACATAAAATACTAAAATGACCAGGAAATCAACTGAAAGTGATGTTAATTTAGGAAATCTGTTAACAAGTATTCCCACGCATAATTAGAGGCGTATGTGATTGTATCCCAATGTAATCAAGGTTTGAAATTATTCTGTTTTTGTCAAATACTGTATCTGTTTGAGCTTCTTGCGGTCAATTTGCAGTGTAGAAATGATGTTTAACTATGTTCCGGCCCCCCGAACTTACGTTCAAGAAAAAATCGACTCGCGGCTGAATGTAATTTGGGAGTCCTGGTTTATTGCATTTATTCCGTTTTTTTTTTTTGTGTGTTCAGTGCATTCACCTTTATGAGTGTATGTGTATAAATTACTGTTGGAGTGACTGATATTCATTTCAGAGTATATTTACTTTGGATTGTAAAGATTTACAACATGTTAATAAAATGGTATGCAAATAGGCTACAGGTCAAGTTTGAATTTTGTGTGAAAGCTTTGATCCTTTAGCATGTAAACAACCTAATAACGTCATGGTCTTCTCAGATACGTTTTTCAGGAACAAAGAACTAGCATACAAGCAAAGATCATAACATTTTTTTGAAAAAGTTGCCAGCTAACTAGTCTACATCAGAAATTCCACAACCATTTTCATGATTTCTACAGCATGATTTCTACACTCACTTCTGATTTGCCAGAAATCATCCCTATTTCCGGTTTGTGATCCAAACACTTCTCCGGTCTGAGCCGAAACAACTGTAGCTAGACAACAACCGTCATGGGTGAAATGGCAGAACTCACAGATAAATTCAACTCTTTCACCATGACGCAATTAAACGAGTTGCTTGAAGACGATGAAAAACTAAATGATATTGTCAAAGAAATGGACGAGGTAAGTTCCCATTGTGTTTTGTTAGCTAGCTAACGTTAATTGGCTATCCCTAGGAACGCTAACTATCTAGCATCAAGACATCTAGCTAGCCGTGCACTTATGTCTGTCGTCAGGCAGACCTGGCTTCATTCACAAATCCCTTCTGAATGCTAAAATGGCATTGAGCAAGCTCATCAACATCCACCTCTTTGCCGCACAGCTGAGAAGCGTGCTCCTTGTACTGTACTCAACATTTGGCACCTGTTTTGTGGATGCTATTTCCATATTTATATTGTCGAATCATTTTCCACAATAACCCTGTTTATGTACATATAGCAGGTCACAAATGGTATTGCGGCATTGTCATTGTTTGGCATTACGGCACAAATGCCATCTGATGCCCATTATTGCAGAAGTAATCGACCCACCCGCGTTTAGGAACTGAACAGATTTGAAAGGAACTGATCCCTGATCTGTTTTATGGTAGCTAGTAGTGGTGGTATTTGTTTCCTGTTAAATGCTCAGGACACACACAAGCCAGCCAGTCATCAGCACTGTGGAAGGTGGGAGAGGTTTTCCTATTGAGTAACCAAGGTGGAGTCGTCCGGACTCCAGAGCACACCTCTTTAGTCATCATTCTGATACAGTTAGCACACACAGCACAGCAGGTTCATAAGCAGATATATTATGACTAATAAACACCTCTCACAGCCTGTTGATATCTGGTTAAATAAGCTAAGATATACTTTATTAGTCCATGCAAGATGGACATTTTGTCTTCTTGTATCCAACCCCACCGATATACACACATTAGGTTGGAGAAGCTGGAGAAGATGACTGATGTCAGTGTTGTTTTCAAACATGTGTACAGCATTCTGCCACTGTTGTTCCTCATCTCTCCATCCCTAGCTAGCCTTGTGTAGTGTAGTGTAGGTATTGGGAAATCTGTGTCTTCTGGCTTCTTCACCTTCTGCATTTGTATATTCACTAGACATGTATGTGGCTGATGCGAGACTCCCCGCCACGATGCTGGTGGAAGATGCTAGTCCTTACCCACCAATGTGAAAATAGTTTTACAGGAACAACCTGTGAGCAGAGATGCAAATCTGTGGTTGTGGCTGCTTCTATGGCTGTCTAGTGCCTGCTTCTCTGGGTTGATGGCAGCATACCATCCCAACCATGTTATTTAGGATTAATAATAGCTTAGTTCATTAGTACTGATATCTTTTATAACCCCCTTCACCAAACCTACACACAGATTATAAATGGCTGTAATAGACACACAACTCGTAGGCTATTATATCTGCAGTGTATCTAGTACTCCACTGTAGAAAACAGAGCTCTTATCGCTCTGAGGGCAGTGAAATCAATACAGGACAAACACAGTTTAAAAACCGTCACTGATAGCCTGCTGAACTCTATGGTGAGCCAGTGCAGGGCTGTGGCCATGCAGAGCTAAAACACAGCATTCAATAAAGGTATGGAATAATCAGTGTCCTCCATAAGACTAGACTCATATTTAACCTCCAGAGGTTAGGTTCTGAGCTGGCTTGTCCCTGACCTATAGGCCTACATACCACAGTCTGGAGGTCAGGGTGGGTCGGGGGTGGGTCAATCTCTCTCTGTCTGCAGGTATTGGGTCTAGTGCTTCTAACCCCACCTTCCCTCTGACTCCTTCTCTCCCTCTTGCCTCTCTCCCTGTGTGTACGGTGTGTCTCTGTGTGTGTGTTATAGATGCGTGAGGTGCAGCAGTTGAAGGAGCTGATCCTAGGCAGTAACATCAGCCTGGCTGAACAGAACCTCCAGCTGCAGCCCAGACTGGACCTGCAGAAGAACCAGCTCACCTCACGCTACCGCCACCTACAGGAGCTCTATGACAACTACCAGCTACGGAAGTCCACACTCGGTAAGAGCCTTAGTAACTAGTCCACACTTGGTAAGAGCTCTAGCTAGTCCACACTACCAAGTCCACACTACTAAGTCCACAGTGTGCCTGTATACCAGTCTCTGTCTCTACATCTCAATGCGTGCACTCTATCTGAAAGACCAGTCTTTCTCTCTCTCTGTGTCTGTGTTGGTAGCTGACTCTTTTCTACCACCTACAGGTCTGCCTGGTCTAACCAGTTCAGTCAGTTGTTGTTCCAAGATACTGATCATTCAGGTTGTCACTACATGACCACAATAGAAAGAAGGGAAGCACACAGCCTTTCTAATATGGCTGTGACGATACCAGTATCGCAATATTTTTTCCATGGCAAAAATGATAACACAAAACACTCTTTGGTCCTTTAAAAACCTGCTGTATGCAAAATATTGTGTGCTATACCTTGGGAAATAAATAAATGTGACTCTGGATGACAACATAATGATGTTTGTTTCCAACATTAGGGCTGTTTTCCTAAAGAAGTTAAATCCGCTTCATGTTTTGTTTCCTTTCCACAATACTAACAAGTATCGCGATCGTCCTGGCCCTACTTTCCACCACCAACCTAAGCCCTAACATTGACCCCTAAATCACGAACAAATATCTAATGTGCTTTTTTTTTCTCTTTGTCCTTTCTAGCATGGCCATCTAGTGACTACTGTGTCAATCAGCTATTACCTGATACCCCTGGCTTTCCTGTACTCAATGCTGCTTTGTGTCTTTTGAATGCCCCAGCCAGCCGGCTACTGTAGTACTATCACATTACAGCCCTGCCCCAGAGATCAGGTCACGACTTAGGACAGTGATTCACTGTGATGGTTAGTGTTTGTTTTAGTGTATTCTAACCGTTTCTCTCTCTCTCTCTCAGACCATGGTTCAGGGAACAGTTCTCTGGACATTCTGCTGGCTCTGCTGCAAGCTGAGGGAGCCAAGATAGAGGAGGAGACTGAGGTGAGACACAATAATACACTCACAACTACACTTACGCTACAATACACTCTCACAACTACACTTACGCTACAATACACTCTCACAACTACACTTACGCTACAATACACTCTCACAACAACACTTACGCTACAATACACTCTCACAACTACACTTACGCTACAATACACTCTCACAACAACACACACAGATCAATACAGACATGTACGCACTCAGGGGTGAAAGTAGAGTTCATTTCTTCCCGGTACAGGACCTCCTATATTTGCACGTGCACCAATACATTTTATGGGCCTAATCATAGAAATACATATAGAATCCCTATTAATTCAATAGGATCTCTGTGGGCCTAGTCATAAAGATTTTCATTTAACTTTTAAAATGTATTACCTTTTATTGTGGCATAAACACAACCAGTCATGTTTTCATCTGATTTGTCAAACGATCACTTCAAAGGGCTTCACTAGGATATCTGCGCACGTTCACCCACTTGCAACATATTTCCAGCCTCCAAACAGTGGTGAATAGAACGAGACATCTGTTACACAAAACACCAAAAAGTGTAATGACATTTGGCGATTGTTATTAGGCCAGAATGGATGCGTCCCCTATGTCCACTCATCTACCACCTGTTTTCAAGGCTATTAGCATTTTTCAGACATTCAGTAATGATAAAAAGGGGTGTAATAGCCTACAGTTTTCTTGACATTTTGTTTTAATTACTGTGATAGGCTCATGTTTTACCGGTACTTTCACCCCTGCTACACGTACAATAATACTCACTCACGCTCTAAGGTATTTTGTGTTGTTGTGTATTAGTTTAAGTGTGTATGCTGCTGTGCTATCCCTGTGTAGAACATGGCAGACTCGTTCCTGGATGGAGAGCTGCCTCTGGACTGCTTTATCGACGACTACCAACGGAGGCGCCATCTCGCTCACCTGCGCCGCGTCAAGATCGACAAACTCCGAGAGCTGGTGCTGAAGGGTCTCCCTCGGCCCCCCCCGATCCCCTCCCGGCCCAGCCGACCCCAGGACCTCCCCTCTACCCCCTACACCAATGGAGCCCCCTCTCCCCAATCCACGCGAGCTGCCCCTTCTCCCTCCCCTCAACCCCAGCACAGTGGCCTGCCCTACCCGGTCGCCCCCTATCCACCAATGCCTTTCCCCAGTCTGGATGCTACAGGCTACCCCAGCGGCCCCTACATGCACCAGCCCTACCTTCAAGCCGCTCAGCAACACCCCATCTCCCCCTCTCCACACCTGCCCCCCCGGACTGGCTTCATCATGCAGTGAGGGAAGTGTCTGTCTCCATAGAAACGCCATGGATGACCTTACCTGCCTTTGACCTGTAACTGTGGCACACTGGAGGGGGAGCGTTGACCCAACAATGAGGGTTGGTGACCTAACCAATTACAGCCCCTCTGTCAGTAACACAGGGAAACCTCCTCTGACCGGCTTCTCTGAGAGGCTCTTACAGATAGTCCTGTAGCTACAGCCTGGACGGTATGTTAGGGGTTGGTTCTCTTTTAGGTTTTTTTATTCCAAGACTAACTTTCTGATTAATCTTCTGAACACATAGGAAAACCTAACCATCTCTGTCTGACTGGTAGATATGCTGTGTATATCAGCTATGGTAACTTGCAGTATGGATGAGTTTTTATAATAAGTAGTTTTTGTAAGCTAAAGGTTTTCAAATGTCCCTCTCCTTGACTGAAGGTGGTGTGTATACCCTGAGGTTGGAGAATGTGCTGTGTTGGTATCATAACATAGTTAACTCAAAAGTTCCTATGCTTCTAGAGGAAGGAGTCCTGTATTGTCATAAATATAGCTAGTCCATCAACAATGAACAGAACTATTCAACAAATAGTACATTTTTATTTAAATTCAAAATGTATTGCATGGCATCGTGCATCTTTTAAAATCAACTAATTGGTGAGTCTTGCTTTCATATTCATTGTTGGTGGGTTATCTTTCCAGCAGGTAGGGAGGATGTGAAAAGTTCTTATAGAAACAGAAGACTAGGAATGTACTGTGTTCTTTTATAAGTAAGGAGACACCTAAAACATTTTGGGTGGATTTGAATAACCTGCTGCCTAAAATGTTCTTACTACACACTTGGCTATTTTGTATACTGGTATAAGAGGGAGTTCTCCCAACTAGAAAACGGATACATAGAATGTATAAAATATTATGAAACGTTTTAGAAAGATTACCATGCATCCTAAGTTCATATGTCAACGTTGTCATGTATGCAGTTGCCCCTGACAGTATGTATGCCTAAATGAATTGTTTCCCTGACATGACTGTCTGCTCTCCAGCCAGGCTACAGGACTGTTGGACTAGTATCAGTGATAGAACCATGGTTAGCATTGTAACACTACACTAGAGATCCAATTACTTTTACATTTTTAATTCTATGCACTACACCTTCTAGTGGGGAAGAGATTCAAGCTGGCTGTATATCTACAGTGGATTCTCCCCAGTTGCACTTACAGAACAGCTCACCTCAAAGGAAAAAGCATTTGGGGGATCAAATATGAAAATGGTGTAGAAATGTTAAGGCATTTTCAAAAGCCCCCCCCCCAATACACCTGTTTTATACTCCATAGGAACTAACATTCATGTAATGCTAGACTAGCAGACTTGCCCACTTTCCAGCATAATCAATAAATGTTTTATAATCGATACCGTGTGGTCTGTGTTTGCTATCAACTGGACAGTTATACACTGTACACAACATTAGGAACATTTCCTAATGACGCCAATAAGGGATCATAGCTGTCACCTGGTCAGTCTCATGGATAAAGCAGGTGTTCTCAATGTTTTGTATTGTGTATACTGTGCAGATGTTTAGTTGAATAACAAAATTAGGTATGAAAGATACTGCCATATTTTCCTGCTTACTTGAAAGGTTTTTAAATGATCATTCACAGGAGAATGGACCAAACAACTTTATTAAAATTGCCAATCAACAGTAAAACATTGGTCTATCAGTAGGTCAGGGTTCAGTACTCCTCTCCTTCCTCAGCCTCTCCCTCCACTGAATCCACTCCCACTTCCTCGTAGTCCTTCTCCAGGGCAGCCAGATCTTCTCTGGCCTCAGAGAACTCACCCTCCTCCATACCCTCTCCCACATACCAGTGCACAAAGGCACGCTTGGCATACATCAGGTCAAACTTGTGGTCAAGCCGAGCCCAGGCCTCAGCGATGGCTGTGGTGTTGCTCAACATGCACACGGCTCTTTGGACCTTGGCAAGATCTCCACCTGGCACCACTGTGGGTGGCTGGTAGTTGATGCCTACCTGTAGGGCACAAGAAGAAAAAAATGGTCTAAAAACCTGACTAACCAATTATACTTGAAAAGGTTAAGGAACATAGATCATTGTGAATGAATAACCATTGCTTGTTTACCTTGAAGCCGGTGGGGCACCAGTCGACAAACTGGATGGTGCGTTTGGTCTTGATGGTGGCGATGGCAGCGTTGACGTCCTTGGGCACCACATCCCCACGGTACAGCATGCAGCAGGCCATGTACTTGCCATGGCGAGGGTCGCACTTCACCATCTGGTTGGCGGGCTCGAAGCAGGCGTTGGTGATCTCTGCCACAGAGAGCATCTCGTGGTAGGCCTTCTCAGCAGAGATGACAGGTGCGTAGGTGACCAGGGGGAAGTGGATACGGGGGTAGGGTACCAGGTTGGTCTGGAACTCAGTCAGGTCCACGTTGAGGGCTCCATCAAAACGCAGCGAGGCAGTGATGGAGGAGACAATCTGGCCAATGAGCCTGTTGAGGTTAGTATAGGTGGGGCGCTCAATGTCCAGGTTACGACTGCAAATGTCATAGATTGCCTCGTTGTCAACCATGAAGGCACAGTCCGAGTGTTCCAGGGTGGTGTGGGTGGTCAGGATAGAGTTGTAGGGCTCCACCACAGCTGTGGACACCTGAACACATACACAAGAGGTAGAACAGTCATTAGGTGTCACATTTTGATAATGAAAACCTCCATATAGAAGTGTTGAGTACAGGACAATTAAGTACAATACTATTTTGCTAATGTAGAAATCTACCAAATATTAATGTGAGCAAGTACACTAAACCATTGCCATACCTGAGGTGAAGGGTAAATGGCAAACTCCAGTTTGGACTTCTTGCCATAGTCCACAGACAGTCTCTCCATGAGCAGAGAGGCAAAGCCGGAGCCAGTTCCACCACCAAAGCTGTGGAAGATCAGGAAGCCCTGAAGCCCGGTGCACTGGTCCGACTGGGGTGAGAAAGAGACAGGCCTCACAGGTTTACAACCCTGTACAGCAGTCAGGGCCTACAATTAACACCCGCCACATGCAGGTAGATTTTGGCATTGGCGGCTAAGATGTCTATTTCACCAGCCACGTTGGCAGGTGGTCAGGGCTCCACAGTGCAAGCATTTCACTCGTATTTGTGAATTAAAAAGTATGATCACATTTATAGTAAAATAAATGCTGCAGTAGCTGTTTTCAAATTCCGCCATTCTGCTTCATAGCTGGTAAATTAAATCGCACAAAGTCAAAAGAACTATGAATCCTATTCCACCTCGTGCTGCAACATTGCCTGGCTGGGGGCAGTGTGCACGTGAAGAGCTGAGTGAAAGATTCATTTTTAGAAGCGCTGGGCACAGGCATACAAGTTGGTCTAATTTACTTGAAAATAAAGTCTACTGAAGTGAGACTTTGACCTTGTGTTTCTTGGCTATTTACGTTGTTTTGTTCAAAAGCTAGGTCGTTTTTCTATGTTTGAGTTACAACTGCTTGGGAAGAGAAGACGTCTAGTCAGACTCTCCCCTCAAATTAAGTGGACACTTCTGATGACGTATGATGCGTTGACACTTGCAGGGCAAGGAATTAATACATTATCAAATGAACAGCCCTTGCCCGGAAATGTGTCACTTGTTCGTACCACAGTTGTGTTTTCAGTCATCATGGAACCACCGGTAGCTGTTGTGTGTGCTTTATATGCGCTACAGTCAATTATGATTGCATTTCATATCTTGGCTAGAAGAACACTCATCCGCAGACATCGAATGCTAGCCATCCAACAATATCAGGTAAATCGAAAATTACAACGTATAAGTGTGATGTCAGGGAAAGTTGTATGCGCTAGCTAACGTTTCCAAAAGCTAACCAAACATAAACATAACTTTTACGATACGGGTTTGTGCCGTCATGTGCATTCGTAGCACAATTTCTAACTTATTTACATTTGTCTTTACTTACACTTGTATGTGGACTTCTCTATATTGATGTTGCTTTTAAGTTTTGGCTGACTTTTAACGGATGTACAATCATCGCAAATTGAATTATGGGGCGTTTCAGGCCCCAGAGTGAGAAGAACTGTACACTCGCAAACTATCACAAACGAGGGCTGAGGGGCTTACGTTGCCACGTGTGTGTGTGTGTAAGAAAATGTATCTACCCTCCACAGTGGCCAGTGGACCAACAAATGTAATGCCGCCAGCATTGGCATTCAAACTTTTTCAGCTGCCATTTTCCTAACCAGAGTTTCTGGCTACCCCACACCAAATCTAATGACAACCTTAAACTTATATATATATATAAATTTAAAACAAATAATCTGTATATTTAGATTTTTACATCAACAAATAACCTTCAATTCATTACTATTATTAATCAATAAATACATTGACTCGATACAACTTTATTTTTCTATATTTTTCTCAAAAAAAGTTTGTATATTGCCCCACACAGGGCTCTACAGTGCGACTTAGTAAAATTAATTAAAGCAAATCTTTTTTATTGTGTTCCTATATTTCTATGTGTGCCTACATTTCTCAACTTGAGTTGGCTGGACAACAGAACAAGCCAAAATTCACCCAAGGCTGAAAAAACTGCCAAATAACGTTGGTTGAGCTGGAACACTAGCTAGTGCGAGGCCATAACAAATTAATGAAATTTATTTTCCCATAGGGAAACAATGGGGCAGCAAGACAACCTGAGTCGCTCTGGATAAGAGTCTGCTAAATGAATAAAATGTAAACTAGGCCTTTATGTGAAAGCGTGGCAATAACTTATAAACGTTTCATTATTCTCAGATCTACTCCTCTGATGACAAGGCAGGCAGACCGACGACTGATGGCACACCCCTGAAAACAAACTGCTCAGCAAAGGCTTGTTTGAGCTACCAGATTTGTTTTTAAAAAAAGGCTTGTTTTCAGTGTGTGTCCAGTGGCTGAGTTTATATGTAAAGGGGATGTTACTTTGGCAGATAATGTCACCCATCTTCGTGGTCTTATGCTGCCATCTATTGGAAATATTTAGCAACTAAAAGTTATTAATTCACGTAAAGACATTGGTGAGGCAGCTGAGAAATAAAGTGCATTTTTCTTGTTAATTCCTTAGATCAGTCTCAAACCTGCCCCACGCCAATAGCTGGACTTTCACATAGAGGTTACTAGGTCACCCGGTTCAAACCACATTTGAAAATTAAAACAAACGTGCCTTGTTTATCAAGTGTACTGCCTTGCAATAATAAATATAACTAATTCAAAAATATATGCCTAGACAGGTTTTCAGCTGGTAGAGCACGCCGCTTGTAACGCCAAGGTAGTGGGTTCGATCCCCGGGACCACCCATACACAAAAAAATGTATGCACGCATGACTGTAAGTCGCTTTGGATAAAAGCGTCTGCTAAATGGCATATTATTATTATTATTATAATAAATGCTTTAGTACTATAATGGTATTTACTGTCATAATATTATTACTAAAATAGGTTTCAATGTTTTCTAGGCTACCCTACCATAGAATTCGAGATTACGGTTAAGGCTGTATAGCAAGCACTTTGTGACATCTGCTGATTTGAAAAAATGTGATTGTTAGGTTTAGGGTTTTTAAGGCAAAAAGCAGTTTGTTTATAGCTCTCTTTATACTCCCTGTGGCCTTCTGTGGGTACTACATACATACCCCATTCAAAAGACTTGCTAGGCTCAATCTGAGGTAGCAACTGCGTCAGATCTACATATCAATGAGCTAGACCTACCCATTTCGGGTGAACCTGCGCAGCATTCGGTCAATTCGATGCCTACGAACGAAGATTGACGCATATCAAATTACCCAGCAGCCATTTAGAAACAACATTTTTTTTTTTTAATAGTTATTTCATAATTTAAAAATGTATTCTGGCTGTTTAAATCGGCCACATCTTGAAAAAGAGGACAGGGACATGCGTTTTGTTTAGGGTTTACATCTTTTCTGAAGAAAATATATATGGTTAACCATGACCAGAAAATGTTTTACCTTTAATGGCTTTTCGCCAGCCATCGTGTCACCACAACAGAACAGTGAACTTGGTAATAAACAAGTTACCTTAGGTAAACCAGCAAGGTTAAACGCGGGCTGGTCTCATTGCCGACAATAGCGAAGCTGGCATTGTGACGCAGAACAATGGGCTGGGACTAGAACGTTCGGAAGGCGAGTTGGTGCAGGGTGAAAATTGCCCTAAAATAAGGCCTGTTTTTTTCACGATTACTTCAAAACTACGGCAACCAGCTGGGCCATAAGGTAATATTATTAAACTGGCCTCCATGGCGGAAATAAAGACCTAGTTTTTAATCACAGAAAAACGTTAACAATTTCATGTGTCCAGCCTACATAGAGCCCTGCCATACAATAATCTAACGTTACTCTTAACTGTTTTGTTCCCACACAAAAAAAACGCTGCTGTACAACTAGGAATTGGAAGCACATGGCTTCAGTTCAGGCTAACAAAATGACTCCAAACGTTACTAACCAGCTTGCGAACTCGGTCCAGTACCAGGTCGACGATCTCTTTGCCAATGGTGTAGTGGCCTCGGGCGAAGTTGTTGGCGGCATCCTCTTTACCAGTGATGAGCTGCTCGGGGTGGAACAACTGACGGTATGTCCCAGTGCGAACCTCATCTACGGAAAATCACAACAGTTCAGGCGGGATTTCTTAAACCGGCCTTTTAGACGGGTAACATTTCCTAGCTAACGTTACGTAGATTCTCATCTGAATACCAACTTTATTTTCGTCCTTTACCAACAACAGTTGGTTCGAGGTCAACAAACACTGCACGAGGGACGTGTTTTCCCGCTCCAGTCTCGCTGAAGAAGGTGTTGCATGAGTCATCCCCTCCGCCGATGGTTTTGTCGCTGGGCATCTGCCCATCGGGCTGGATCCCATGTTCCAAGCAGTACAGCTCCCAGCAGGCATTCCCGATCTGAACACCGGCCTGACCAACGTGGATAGAGATGCACTCACGCTGTGGGGGAATAAAACCAAAAACTGCCCAATTTATGTTCATGTTGTAACCAATTAAATAATTATCTTGACTGGCTAATGTTAGCTAGACCTAAATTAGTTTGTTCGTCCGTCGAGCTAGGCACGTTACTTTCGTCATGAAACTTACCATTTTGATTCTATAAAGTATGAACTTCAGTTATGGTCGAAAAAAAAACAAATGCGCAGTTGGCTAGCTTGCTAACAAACGTCTGTCTTGGCTCTGTAACTAGCAACGGTCAACTGCCCAATCTTTTTGAAAATTACGTCGATTCACGGTTATATACACCCCAGAATGAGCCCCGCCTTTGTTTCAACCCGATTGGTTGCGTCTGTCTGTCTGTGTGTGACATGCCCCCGTACGCATCGTGACGCGTTTCATTACGCAGTAAATCATCTTCACAGAGCCCGGCAACTGAACCGACAAAGATATTTCCGCGTTCAAAACAACTGGGAACTAGCTGAGAGCGAGCGAACGAAGATGGCGGACGATTCAGGGGTGTGAACAGTTGAGGGTGCGACAGATTCGAAAATATGGCGGAGGCGGACAATGAAGTGGATTGTGAATCTAATGGCGGTAGAATCAAGGAGTATTGGAGTATTGTTCAAAAGAATGGAAAAAGGAGCAAAGTAGGGTACAGTGCGGAGAATGTCCCTTTATATCTTGTAGGAGTAAGGTTTGTTAATGAGGAGCAGCTTATCGAAATACCAATCTTGAAGAATCCATTTGAGCTATCTAAACTGGTGGAGAGAGTGATGGTTAAAGTGAAGTATGTGAGGATCACGAGAGGCGGGTTTGTTTTGATTTTTTTGTACTTCTGCGGATCATAAGGAACGTGTGTTACGGCTCTCCCGATTTGAAAAGTTCGACGTGTCGTGTGTTTCTCTTCGGAACAGGGCAACCCTCAAGGGTGTAATGTCGGGCGTCTCCTGGGAAGTAGATGTTAAAGAGATGAAAAATATTCCTGGAGTGATTGATGCACGTCGGATGAATCGAGTGGTGAATGATGAAAAAGTATAGAGTTTCTGTTATTTTATGGAGTCTCTCCCTACTCAAGTGCAGTTGGGGGTATATAAACTACAAAGTCAGAGCATTTATCATTGTAAAGCTTTTGGTATATTTAGCGAGTTTTCAGACCCCTCCAGCGACACATTTTTTAAAAAGCGACTAGCGACAAATCTAGCGACTTTTTCTGGTGTTATTGCATACTTTTGGAGACTGACGTGAAAGCACGTATCGTTCTTACTCTTCTCAACGAGCAGCGGGTTCTGCCGTGCCCACCCCAGTCCCAAAGCACTCACAGGCGGCCCAGTCCTCACGCAGCAGTCCCTCCCAGCTGCAGTCAGAACAGGAGATGTTCACCTCTCTGCATCCAGACTGCAAATGAATGGCGCATGCGGGAAGCCGCCGCTGGCTGATCCCGGCATGGCTTACATTCAGGGCAGGATGTAAATGTAGGGTGTTTTTTACTCACTTTTTGTCTCTCCCACATGCACATGGCCAATTATGAAAATAATGGTGATGATTAGGTGATGACGTCATTTAGCGACTTTTTAGGACAGCCAATAGCTACTTTCCTTACTGAGGAGTTGGCAACACTGGAAACGAGCTAGGAACTCAGAAAAATACGACGTCAGTGATCATCAGGTCGGAAAGTCGGAGCTCTAGAAAGAGGCCCGAGTTAGAAATCCGAGTTGGATGACCCTTCATTTCCCCCCCCCCCTTTGTCAGAGATCGCATTTATTTGGGGAGATTGCAAAATAGGACGTTTGGCAACTCGAACCTTCAGCTCCCTCCACAGATTTTATATGGGATTAAGGTCTGGAGACTGGCTAGGCCACTCCAGGACCTTAATGTGCTTATTCTTGAGCCACTCCTTTGTTGCCTTGGCCGTGTGTTTTGGGTCATTGTCATGCTGGAATACCCATCCATGACCCATTTTCAATGCCCTGGCTGAGGGAAGGAGGTTCTCACCCAAGATTTGACGGTACATGGCCCCGTCCATCGTCCCTTTGATGCGGTGAAGTTGTCCTGTCCCCTTAGCAGAAAAACACCCCCAAAGCATAATGTTTCCACCTCCATGTTTGACGGTGGGGATGGTGTTCTTGGGGTCATAGGCAGCATTCCTCCTCCTCCAAACATGGCGAGTTGAGTTGATGCCAAAGAGCTCCATTTTGGTCTCATCTGACCACAACACTTTCACCCAGTTCTCCTCTGAATCATTCAGATGTTCATTGGCAAACTTCAGACAGGCATGTATATGTGCTTTCTTCAGCAGGGGGACCTTGCGGGCGCTGCAGGATTTCAGTCCTTCACGGCGTAGTGTGTTACCAATTGTTTTCTTGGTGACTATGGTCCCAGCTGCCTTGAGATCATTAACAAGATCCTCCTGTGTAGTTCTGGGCTGATTCCTCACCATTCTCATGATCATTGCAACTCCACGAGGTGAGATCTTGCATGGAGCCCCAGGCCGAGGTAGATTGACAGTTCTTTTGTGTTTCTTCCATTTGCGAATAATCGCACCAACTGTTGTCACCTTCTCACCAAGCTGCTTGGCGATGGTCTTGTAGCCCATTCCAGCCTTGTGTAGGTCTACAATCTTGTCCCTGACATCCTTGGAGAGCTCTTTGGTCTTGGCCATGGTGGAGAGTTTGGAATCTGATTGATTGATTGCTTCTGTGGACAGGTGTCTTTTATACAGGTAACATACTGAGATTAGGAGCACTCCCTTTAAGAGTGTGCTCCTAATCGCAGCTCGTTACCTGTATAAAAGACACCTGGGAGCCAGAAATCTTTCTGATTGAGAGGGGGTCAAATACTTATTTCCCTCATTAAAATGCAAATCAATTTATAACATTTTTGACGTGTTTTTCTGGATTTTCTTGTTGTTATTCTGTCTCTCACTGTTCAAATAAACCTACCATTAAAATTATAGACTGATCATTTCTTTGTCAGTGGGCAAACGTACAAAATCAGCAGGGGATCAAATACTTTTTTCCCTCACTGTAGGTTGGAGATTAAAACTCGTTTTTCAACCACTCCACAAATTTCTTGTTAACAAACTATAGTTTTGGCAAGTCGGTTAGGACATCTACTTTGTGCATGACACAAGTAATTTTTCCAACAATTGTTTACAGACAGATTATTTGACTTATAATTCACTGTATCACAATCCCCCCCCCCCCCCCCACACTAAACTCAAATGAGCTGCTAACATAGCTAGTTAGCTATCTAGGCAACTTTACATACTATATAGATGGCTATCTAAGTCAATTAAAATTGACCAGCTACCAAACTTCATATTAGCTAGCTATCTTTATGTATTTATCACTGTAACAAAAAAATGCATGCATTTGTAGGTAGCTAGCTAACAGCCATGGAGGAGGGTGAAAGGATAGCAGCCCCATCTGTCAAAGTGAGAGAGTAGGCTGTTCTGGATAGGGCAGGTACTTTTGTGTAGTTCCAGTCCCTAGAAGTGAGGACGGAGATAATAGTAACGTACTATTCAGTGCGGTCTAATTTGAGTATAATGAAGTCTGTTTCTTGTGAGGTTTTCTGTCCTCAGATACAGTGAGCTGTGAAAGCCTGTCTGCAGATGAAGAGGTCCCAATGAAGAGCAGTGCTTCTCAGTCCTGGTCCTGGGGACTCAAAGGGGTGCACATTTTTGTTTTTGCCTTAGCACTACACAGCTGATTCAAATGATCAAGTCATCATCAAGCTTCAAGTGGTATTTATGTGTTCATTTATGATGCTGTCCTTGATATGATCCTGCTATTGTCACATGCTACACGTGTGTGCATCTATCTATCCAATGTTATCATGATTTGTTATACGGGATATTATACTTTAGTAATCCACAATGACCTGGTGATGTAAAAGTCTAATAATTACATGATCTTCCATATTCCTACAGATACCTTGTAACTGGAGATTCCTTCAAAACGATTGCCTACAGTTACCGTGTAGGGCACTGCAAGGTTGGGTGGCCAGGGCCATCTGGGACTGCCTCCTGGGGGAATTCAGGCGTGTGAAGGCTACCTGTGTCCTGCATAACTTCATGAGGATGGACAAGAGGACCAGGAGGGGATCTGCAGCTCACCGCCGTGTGCCAGAGGAGAGGTCTGCTGCTCTGCAGGATGTTTCAAGGATGGGGGCCAACAACGCAGGACAGGAGGCAATCCATGCGCGGGAGATCTTCACCTCCTACTTCTTCGAAGAGGGTGCTGTTCCCTGGCAACACCATAGACTACACTATGCAAAACCAAATGCTCTTTTAAGAGCCATCCACATTGCAATAAGAGTATTCTTCCATTTACTTAACTATGTCAACTGTAGTTATTAAATTCCCAGTTTCTCTCCTTTTGATTTCTACTTCTCAGGTGAGGGTGGTGTTCAGGTAAGGGTGATGTCTGTACAAAAACAAAACAGGCTCTTTTAAGAGTCACCCATATTGAAAAATTTTTGAACATTTAGACACCCTATAACCCACACACTCGTGCATCAATCTGATTGATGGATTGTGTTGTGCAGTAAGCAGGCTCAGGTATATAACTGTGGCTCCTTCCACCTTCAAAGAATAGGCAAGAGGACCAACCATGGAGAATAGTAAGACCTTCATTATTTATATTTATACAACTACGCTATATTGTTTGGCCTCATGTGTCTGTACATGTTTTTCAGTATAAAGTACTCTGCAGCAACTTAGTGTGGACACCAGGTGAGGCCACACACACCGATTTCTGTTGAACAGTGTCTCTTTAACTACCTTGTTCTCTCAATAACAGTCTCTCTCCTTCACTTCATCCCTCTCCCCCCTTCTCCCTAAATCCTCTAGGTTATATCAGCTGTGTCGATGAACCCCTCCCGCATCTGAACTAGCTGACACACAGCATGATCAGAGGTGGGAGATCACTTGGTCGGGTCAACAGGAAGTATTATTAAAGAGACGCTTTACATTGAAATACAGATCGAGATGTAGTAGTCCTAGAGTAAATGATCCAAGGTCAGTTTTGCATTGATGACTGACAGTGTTCACATGATTAAGCCTGGTGTTTCTTTTATTCTATCTCTCTCCATCTGTCTCTTGTCTGCAGGTATGTTTTGATGCTAGAGAGGGTGCCAACCCCCAGTCCCGTCATCACCATCTCACCCGCTCTTAAGATAACCTTCGGGCCAACTGGGGCCCAAGGCTGTTAGGAGACACCGCTAGAGACACTATTATGTAATTATGATGAACTGAGAGAATA